AGGGAAGGAGACTGAGTAACCGCGATGACGTCAATTTTCGGGTTCCCAAAGAAAAGTCATAAATATAGATGGGGAATATATTTAGGACTCAAGAGCTTTGCTTTTGTTTTTATAATAAAAACAAGTGTTAGTCAAAAACGACATTTCAAACTGGCCAACCTGATAGCTTACCATAACCAATCCCTTTCGTTTCATCTATAGCTCATACAAACCCCCAAAATATAGGAATGATTTCAAAAATCTAGTATGAGCGTTTGAAAGAGACGCATTTTGGAAAACGAATTTCAGGTGTACGACAAGGAGCACTTGGTGATTGGTTCGATGTTCAGCCGGCTATTGCACTGCGACGTTCTGAACCCATCCATAACCTGAAGCAGCCCTTCTGCGTTTTTCTACAATACTACGGCATATCTTCCGCATCGTTTCGTTCAGGGAGCAGTATAGCCATTTGGAATCCTCATTACCTGTGATACTCCAATTTTGATCTCCTGCCAGTTGAACTGCTGCCTTTTTTGTTGTTTTTATTTCAATGAACCATAAACCGATGAATCTAATGTCTAGCTTCCTATTGTTGCTCTGCTCTAGCGATAATTGGTGGAGAGGATGCAGTATTAAATGGAATTAGCACTTTATCCCCAGAACGGGAGTAGGATTTGTTATAGTGGGAGTGTGGGGTTCGTGAAGGATTCATAAATTCTTGAAAAAAAATTTATATGAAATTTCTTCCACTAATATTATACGAAAATGAATTTAATTTTATGGATTGAAATTTTCACGGAAACTTCGAAGTTTTTGCTAATATTACTGAAATAGATATTCGTGAACCTCTTGCTCCGCTCGATGTTCTAGAGTTTTCGGATTGAATACGTATAATTCCGAATAGGACGGTAGGACGAAGAGTATTGTTAACGGGGCCTGTAGACTGAGGTGAGCCAGGAGAGAGTCGTAGCAGCCGTACGGGAGAGGTTTACATTTGTATTAGTCAAATTTCCTCGACTGGTGGCTTACCCTGGCTGGAACTGTCTGAAACACGTCGTCTTCCGTACTAGGTATTCAACCACTTTGCTGTTTTGTACGAGAAATCCGGTCTATCCCGGACCGATCTTCAACACCTTCATTTTTCCCTCCACGGTCAATTATTCAGTGCTATTACCACGGGGGCATGCTCCGATTCCGGAGGGGGTGGAAATAGGTTCGCCTTAGACGGGATTTTTGACAATTTCTGTGAAAATTCTACGAACAAGAACTGTCGAACTGAGCAAAATCGGAATATTCCATGCTCATTATGCAATCAGACATATTTGCCTACCCCCACCCCACGTTCCCCGTTCGACGGCTGTTTGAAGGGAAAATGTGGGAGAGTATGAACCTATCGACTGGCCTCAAAATCAAGTACTATAGAAACAGCGTGGGACCCTGGTCTTCACCACAATCTACAATAATGAGATCACCCCGCTCCAACAACTGGTGTAACGGCGAGAGAACAATAAAAAGGATTGTAAGGAAAGAATCTATACGTTTATCCAAAAAAAGAAATATTTACAGTTAGATTGTCTCTGGCGATATGTCACAAAGAACAAGTTCTCGGCAGACGGATCCGATGAGCAGCTGATTCCCGTAGGGAGCAGCAATCGAGGACGCCGAGATTAAGCTTCCGTCGTCAGCGAACGGTTCTGTGATTTCCCATGATTTGAAATCCTTCGAGAACACGATTCTCAACACCTGAACAGACAAACCTTTCTCAACTCAGTGCAGCTAACAATAGCTGACGCGAGCGGCTGCGCTGCGCTTGGTTCATTCATTTCTCGCAGGAAGAACGAGGCTTTTTCCAGTGCCTCGACGGGTTATAAGTGCCAAATTATTGTTAGTAGTACGTGACGGTCTCGAAAGAATCGATATCGAGCGTGCTTTTTGATGGTTTTTAATTTTTGATGCCCCTTATGTGCTTTATGTAGCACTCCGTTTCAGCGGGAATAAATCAAGATCAGCTGCGTCGCGACAGGACGCGTCAACTATCCGAGTTTCGCACATAGAACAGTCGGATTTCCTGTGAACGTAAATGAGCTGCTGGATCTTTACAAACCTGCGACGGAGCTTTTAAGTGTACTTCGACATTATCACAGTCAGACAGTAAACCTACTGCGTCCTTCAACACAGGATGAGCACCCTGAAAAATGGAAGTGTTATCAGTCGAGAAATGAACTCCGCATTCCCTTCGGGACCCACAGTCCAAACGGCTCCTGATTTGTCAAGACAGAAATTGTCAGCCGACGTCAGCGTTGGCACATCTACCACATGTGAAAGCGTATGATTATTCTGCAACAACAATTCTTACGACAGTGATTACTGTAAAATCAATCGATTTATTGATTGGTTAGCATCTATTCTTACATTGTTCAGTTTGTACACGGAGATGGTTTCGATGTTAACGTGGGAAATGATGACATGTGTGCGCTCTTTGTTGAGGATAATACCATTTGGAGAAATCGATCTCGATATCAGATAGGAACTGGTCTGAAACCAACACATGAAACTCTAGCCTAAAAGGAAAAAAGGAACAAATCGGAGAGTTTGACCTAATTCACCACAGGCAGACCTAAAGACACTTTCCGCGAGTTCGTAACGAACACTTCTGTCGACTTGTACTGTAATCGGCTGCTAAGAAGCGTGCCATTTTTACAGCTCCATGGAGCGTACCAGGGCATGCTCCGCCCCCATGCGTAAGGCCTGCCTTGAGATTGTCGTCGCGCCGAGGTCTACGTCTCTCTGGTCACTGTGCTTTCTCTCACCCTCGTCGTCAACTGTCTCTCGTCCTCATGCGCCTCCCCCTCTTCTAGCTGTAGGCCGTGCAATGCCAGAGACCAACAAAATCAGAAAATTGGGCCTTATCTGAGGTGTTCTCGTCAGTTTTTTTTTGCATCCTTGTTCAGCGCAGCATCTGTAGTTTTATATTTCAAAGCTACATAGCCACACACGTAAAATGGAACGGAACGTGTCTTTGAGTAGATTTTGAATTCATGCACACGTAGCTCCGACCATTTCCACGGTTACACACGAAACTGAATGTAGTACAACCCCATACATGTAGTTCATATCTGACCGTCTGATTAGGCGGTTCTACGGACTTGACGTGGCGACCGCCGCACTTGATAGAAGTCGCGCGGATAAGCCGCTTCCAACATACTTCGCTGGGAATCAGCAAGGCAGGCCAGAAGCAGCTTATCCACGCAACTTCTATCAAGTGCGGCGGCTGCCACGTCATTTCGGTGACACGCCTAATCAGACTTCGAGATATGGACTGTACCTGCGCCTTGCCGTCATAATACACTACACTTCCACTTGGATAAACTGTGAGTATCTCCAGAAAACTGAGCAACTCCGTTTGAGCGTAGCCGTCATTTGTGAGTATAAACGAGTTCTCATCGATCGCCGCCAGATCATTTGGCCTTGAAGAGAAAAAAATTCTTTAAGATAAAACGAGAAAAGAAAACGACAGGAATCACCTGATGAATTTTTCGTCCTCAATGATTCGTACAAGGGCCAACTGAAGAGGATTGTTTCGATTCCAATCAAATACCATCACCGAATGTTCGAATTTGTTCGAATGTGAAATGACAAAGAGTCGAGCTCCAGTGGAAGTGATCACGTGGGAAATGCCATGAGGGTGAAAGTTTTCCTAAACAATTTTTTCTGGTAGTTTATTCCAACAGGAAATGAATTTTCAAATGCGGAAATTTCAGAAGGTTCTTGAGGCGAGTAAAGTTCCATGCCCTTAAGAGAATGAAGGCATGAAGGCACGACCAAGTTCAGGAAGGGATTTGTTAGTGTTCAAATTCAATATTGTAGGAGCGAAGTGACCGCCAGTGAAGAAACAACATGAGATTGTGTCAAAGAGGCTC